AATAAATCAAACATTCAACTGTCTCAAAAAACTGCTCCAAAAAATGAAACTTCTCTGACACCACGAAATTTTTTAACACCTTTTTTGTAACTTTGCTCAACCCAGCAAATATTCCAGTCTAATTACTGGAAAAATGGAAGAGTTCAGATGTACAGTACGAACCTGGTCTTCCGACCACCGTCCAACAACAATATAATCACTTCGTCGCGAATCTTGGGATCTAAATTCCGCGTTTGATTGAAAAACGGCAAAAATACGTCATGCGTTCATTAATCTACAAAATCTCCATGTTTGTGGAATCTAATTTGATCGGACTCCAGTCCTTGTGCGTACTTCTTGAAATTGGCAAACATATGCACGCTGAACCCCTAGGGTTTTTATTATCAAAAGCGCTTATGGGATAAAAATCTTTTGATTGCTGTGCAGCCTATAGTCAAATGAATTACCAAAGCGCTTCCGAAGAACAATTCATGCTGCACAAAAGAATTAAAACTATCATAGAAAAATCATAAGATAGGGCTAAATTCTATACGAAGCGCAAAACTGATTGATGTACACTGAAAATTCCAAGACAGTGATAAGATTATTCAGAACGGAACAGCGGCTGTCGCACCAATTCGGTTGAATAGTACTAAAATGGACTGTCAAAATCCCCTCCTTATCTGCTGTCTGTGAGAGGTGTTAACAGTAACCACCAGTTGATAAAACTATCGGGCTCCCTCTTTTGCTCGTTGCTCATAAGCAAGCAGGTGATGGATTTGTCTTCCTCTGGCATACTGACCATTGATGCGAATGAACGAATCGTAAAGGAATCAGTTGTCCTCTGGCAAATCTAAATTCTCCACCTCCTGCACAAACGGGATGTCTGGTTCTAAATCAAAAAGAAAAACTAAGCAAAAACGATTAAGCTTTTCAGAAATAAATGTGTTAATTTTAGTGAAAGAGTAAAACTCGTAGAAGCCTACTACCCCGCTTCATTTTATTACTGCAATCTGACGAACTAAGAGCATTCTTCGTCGTTCACACCATGTGCGTGGGAATTTTTGGATTAAGAAAAAGATTAATTTAGGGGCGAGAGAGAACTGAATAAATCATTAATAAGGTTTTGACTGGTTCTGACCGAAAAATGCAAAGCACAAAAGCTTTGTGCTTCAAAAGCGAATTTCCTCCTCCTCCCTCCGCTTGCAGCTCTTCGCATACTCGAAAATACATTCAGTGGTGCCAGTTGTGGCCAAACGACTCATTAATTCACTCTTCCTATGATTGGAAATCAATTTTTTCTAACTCCGAATGACTATATGTGCTTATTTTCCGGAATTAAACATAACAAGAAGGAAGATGCCTTTCTTAAAAATTCACGAGCTGGAGCAGGACAGAGAGAAGGCGAAGACAGCAGGAAGGAGGTGGAAAATCGAGCATTAATCGAATTTTGCTCCAGCAACCTCTCTTCGTCTGCGAAATACATTTTAGATAAGGGAAACTTTTGTTGCTAAATTAACAACACAGATCTCTTGGCATTTCCTGGCCTGTTTTATTCACTTGTAAATCCCAAATGTAAGTATATAATTCTTTGTATGTAAAGATGGTTAATATAAAACACACTGGACAGATAGTGGATGCTAACTGAAAAAATGTAATTCAAGATCGAAGAGCCTAGCAAAGTTGCGCTTGATGTATCGGAGAAGCCCAGTAACACCACCAACACGGGATAAACACATCGATTGCCCGGTGGTTTTGGTATTCTAGGTAAGTATGTGGTTGCTAATTAATAAAAAAAAAATCATTAACTCTCCGCTTGTTTCCTAAGCCACAAAATTCCTTTTAAAAAAAAAATTAGCAGTATTCTAGCGACTTTTCTAATTTTTATAATGCGTCAGTGTGCCTGAGTTCACAGTCTGGCACTAATACATATTTAAGAGAGCAGCAATTTTCTAAGCGTGAAGTGAACTGCTTTGCATCCACTGTACTGCACGAAGTGGAAGTTGTAGGAAAAACGAATGAAGAAAGAGATGACGGGTAGGCGAGATGCGTAACAGCAAATGCAGAGAGCAGGCTAGTGAATGGTACCCAAATGGTGTGAAATGGATGGTGAAGGGATCGCCATCAAAATGAAAAGTTTTAATTGTTGCTACGACACACAAAAAAAAGATAAAATTATTGGCGCTCCAGTCGCTTTTCAAGGTACTTCTAGAGAATAAAATGATTGAAAAACCATGGAAAAAGTTTCAATTTCGTGTTGACTGGCCATCAAATCCTATTTGAAGCTTGGGAAATGCGACTGATACAGATTGGTTTAGCCGTGAAAAACAATTAGTTTACCTTCTGCGATTGTTTTCAGGTTGATAATTAAGTATTGTATAATGGGCTGGTCCATCACCTTCTGGACTAAATCGAAATTTCTTGCCAACAGCATCTAAAACAGTTCATTTGCATTAAAAAATGCTAGCCAGATGTGAGCCTTCTATACCATGCTTCATGCAAAAATTACCAGAGCTAAGCTACACTTACGATACTTGGATAAATCACTACGTCTGTGTATGTGCGCTTGTATTTATGCATGCATGTAAGCATGCTTATGCATGAGATACGCACATTCAGATGATTCAGTCGAGGAGCTAGCAAAATTATAAAAAAAATCTTTTTTTCGACCGCGCTTATGCAGCGAGGCAATTTTAAAATTAATTTCTCAAGCCCTGGTCCTCAACCTCAAACCCAAAATCCCGAAATTTAGAATTCCCTCATTCTCAGAAACTTTTTAAGGGAAAGGAAATTCTAACTTCTGGATTTTGCTTATATCTAGCAGACCATACAGACTCTCTGCGTGCCTCTGTTCATTCCGCATGCGTTCTTAACAGTTAGTTGCAAAAGCACATGGTCGTGTCGGCTCCATGACGCAAGCTACCACTTTTTTTCCATAGATTCTGATAGTAGCCAGAAGAGACGCCTCTGATCATTTTTAAAAAACACCAGGAATTCTGAGCTCACTACCTTCAAATTTTACTTGCAGTAGATATTTTTGATAGAATTCTTCTCCGTCAATGCGTTTCATTGCGCTGCATATTTGTGGCATCCTCGAATGCCGAGATATCCATGACGATGCGACGGTGTCGTCTGGACAAACTTCCTCCTTCATAGCCTATCAAAAGTAGAAGTCGGTGCAAAATTTTTCCATTTTTTCAACGAGAGCTAAACGAGAACTAGAGCTATAATACACACTCGTTTAAAATTTCCCAGAACATCTCTAAAAATGTAAAGCTCGCAATGTCTTTCGTGGTAAATTCGGAGTGAAAATCGATACTGTGAAATAATAAATAAAAAATTATCCCTTTTTTTGTTGGAAAGTATTCGTAACAAATAATTTTTTTAAACTGTTCAACACAATGATCAGAGCTAACACTTTTATATTTCCCATTATACAGAAATAAAAAAAAGGTGCCTGCAATCCACGTGCAATAGCGAATACAGCATCAATGACGAATTGTACTTTGTCATCAGGATTGAAATTTTCTACTGTTTGCCGATGGCTTTCACATCTAAATAGGAAAAAAATTATGAAATTTGTCATAGATTTGTCATGAAACTTATCAAGATTATAAAAATGTTTTTAAAATGCCGCTGGGAGCATAGTGCAACAAGGAGCACGACCGCTTTCATGTTGAAGGCTGACGTTTCCACTGTAGCAGTGCGACAGCTAGCCTCTATTACCATCCGTTCACTTGTTTCAGTGGTAAATTGGTAATGGCACAATCCAAGAATTCGAAGTCACCATCAGTTTGAATTCAAGCAACCTTTGATAGAAGGAGTGATGAAGATCTTGTCAACGGATGATTATTGCTGCCGTTCCCTAGCAATTTCGTCTTACTTCCGAGCGCTTCCATTTCCCGCAGAGGGCTAATACAGAGAAGTTTTTGGACTCGACTTTTAGCATGACAAAAATTCTGAGACTGAATATTATCTCCATTAACGCATCAAACTTAATACATACCGATTAATTGTGCTTTGCTCAGGTAAACCAAATTCACAGTCGAATTTGTGGCGCCATAACTCCCGCAACCATTTATTTCGTTCAAATTTGTCGTGGCCCGGATTTAGTGACAAAAAATACTGAAAATTTTCAATACAAATTTCGTTACTGCAAGAACAGGGATTATTCAGATCTAATCAAAGTTTAGAAGGATTTGAATGAAGTTTGCTGTCACTCAGCAAAAAAATGAACTGACCGATGAAAAATGAGCTACTAGCAATTAACACAAAAAAAAAAACATTTTCGCTTCTTCAAAAAAAAAGCTAAAATCTTACCTCCTCGAAAGCGGGAACACGTTCCGAGGCCAACATCAAAACAATTGCCCCTTCTGCCGCTAATTTTCTAGAGCCTGTTGTATAAGCTTCGTTGTTGCGATCCCAGCCTTCGCTTGCAAGCCTTCAAGTTTACCATAATACAAAAAAACGATGTTATTTCCAAGCAAATAAAATTTTGTACAAAAACTTTCAACGAGATTTCTACAACAGTAATAAGTTCGCCTGAGTCATTCATCGAAAGAGAATTCTTAATTTAGCTGTTTATTATTTAAGTTAATCTTAACTATCCACTGTGTCTTTATCTACAGCCTTAGAAGTGAATGAGAAAAGGGACGAGAAAAGCCGAGAGCAGATTCTTATCACCATACACTGGTTAGACAAAGAGTTCGTCCTGATATGGGAGGTGGCTCGAAAGAAATAAAGGCATGATATTCAAGAAAATTTGGAACTTAGATAAATTTAGTTTACCGGAAAAATGGCTTCAAATTTCATGCTTTTTGGCCCTTCAAAAAATAGTACTGCAGTCACGAGGAAGTTCAAAATATCTGTGGAAATTTACCAAATGATCCTTTTTTGTCGAGGCAAGCGTTCCAGGCGCATACGTTCGGAAGTCTGCAGCATCAGCTCTGGCACGTATTCTGTGCCAACAAAAAGTACCACGACACGTGCGCCGACTATTTTCTCTGGTTGTAATCTGTTAAGTAACAAGTGATAAGAGCAAAACATCCAGAGAATCGACACACTTATGTACAGTAAGTTGCTGTGAGTGCCTGGATTAGTACAGCAAAATAGCCAAGTTGGCTTGATCTAGACGGAAAATTTTATATGCACTCTGTACACAGCCATTTTTAGCTGGCAAACACTTAACCAGTTTTGATAAGAAGGCCCACAAAAAGCTTATCAGAATAATCCACTACTATCTATTTCTGCACAATTCATTTTGTTATTTCATTAAAGCCATAAATCTGATCGGCATTTCAAACTTTTGATTAATTCGAATCTGCTGAAAAAAGCCAAAATTACTTTTTGATAAGATTATCCACAGACTCCCGGAATGCCTCTTTTTTTGGTGATATTCGTTCCTCAATGGCTATACAGATATTCATTTTGCGTGCTTCTTTTTTAAAAGCTTCAGCGCCCAATTCGCCATATTCGTCAGCTGAATAGACCAGAGAAACGTACGTCCAGTTAAAGTGCAGTGCGATATCAATCATTGCACGTGCTTGATAGTTATCACTGGGCACTGTTCTATAATTATGGTAGTATTTATAGCATTAAGATGTTTTTTAGTAAAAAAAAAACTTGTAAATTTGAGCAAAAGGTGGACGTATAAAAAAATTTAAACTTGATAAGAAGCCAGAAGTTGCGCGCTTCACCAGCAACACTCTTACCTAGCAAAATATTCGAAGCGTGTTTTATCACTAAGATCAGCATTCGTACTGGCTGGACTCACTTGCACTATTTTGAAGAGCCTCAACAGATTTGCTACCTGAAAGTTGGCAATTATGCTGCTTTCTTATTTTTTTTAAAAATTAGCATAAATGAATTGCAGTCTACAAGCCACAAACACATATACAGATGAAGTGACCATTAAAATTTTTTTCTTTTTTAGCATTGTAAAGTCAGTCAATTTAGTTATAATTAAATGCTGTCAGCGACCGAGCGTTTTTATGTAAAGACAGCCATTCAACATATCCACTAAAACACAAACCACTCGCATCTGTAGATAGATCCCGATCGTGAGGTAGTCTTATCATGGCCTGGGAGTGATAAGAGATGAGGTGGTGATACTTAACGACATTGGCGGACCCAGGGGGCGAGACCACTCGCCAGGGGCTTAGGTAGCAGTTATTTTATTGTAGAAAAGTCTACTTGGAACCCCTGTCGCCCCCTCTCTCCAGGAACCTTCGAGGGATGGGGGAAGACGAAACGGACATCAGGATTGCCAGTAAGTAGAACAGCGGGTAATTCAGCACTAGTCAAAGCAAATGGAAAATTTGCCAGCTGCATAAATGAAAAACCACACTGCGAAACGCAATTGGTCAAATTGGTAAAGTAAGTAAGTTAAGGAAAAATTGTAAAAAAACAAAAAATTTTTTGGAAAAAAGTGGAACCTGAACAGTAACAGAACTATAGCTGCCACCAACAACAGCAGCAACATTTTTACGTGGCATTTGCCTACTTTCCGGTTGACTGCCATCACGGCACTGGTATTCAGACAAGTCTGTCGAACCAATCATATCACGGACAAAATCGAGGCTCTGGTTCAATGCATAAGCTGGATTTGAGCACGAATCCAGGATAAGGGCACCCTGGAAAAGCTATATAAAAAAGTCGCTATTAACATCGCTTGCACGAATCTGTTGCATCTTACTGTGAATTATAACCCCCCAAGCTGCAACGCGCCAAGCTTGCCGATGCGATTATGCGTTTTTGCGCTAAACTTGAAGCAGTTAGGTAATCAATTGTATGAATGGTTGTTGCTTAACATTTAACACTGCGCAATCATTTCCGTAAATCATCTTAAATTTTGCATAAAGAAAAATGAATTATTTTCATTGTGGGGTCGTTCGTTGGAAATGACCTAGCTGTTCTCGTTTCCGAGTTAGCAATTTTCCCGCCAAAGCTTTCGCTTGCTCGTACATGAGAATCACGTATGTCTGGGGGTTGGATTTGGGAATTTTAAGTAATATTTGGACAGGCAACATTCCTGTAAAATTTCAGCTTCCTAACTTCTCTGGTTCACCAGTTAGTTTTCTCGCCAAACTTTCATTTGACGGTATTCGAGGCCCAGAAGCGTATAAAGGTTGGTACTGTGCTTCTGAGTTAGCGTCGGACCAGGGAAACCACTGGCGGAATTTTAGTGTCAAAGCTTGCTTGGTTGTCGAGTTGAAATAACTGGAAAGACACATACAAACGCGCGCACACAAACATATACGCATACACATGCACACACGCAACATGGATCATAACAACATGCGTTTTTGCATTTGCAAGTGGGTAAAAGCACACAATAAAAACGAACTAGTTTATAACCACGTAAGAATTCACGCTGAGAATTAATAACATCCAGTGCATAGAGCATTGCCTCGACTCGATGAACACCTCTAAAAGAAGTATTCTTAAGTCGTTTCGTTCGATACAACAGAGCGGTAGTTCGGTTCAATAAAAAAAAAGCTGATAGGGATGAGTCTGTTTGAAAAAAATTCAACTGAACAGCCAGCGTCACCAGGGAATCTGATTCGTTCAGGAAATTATGACCGAAGTATGCTTGGTGAAAAAATATGCGCTTTTAACGATGGATTAGTGAAATGGTCAATGTTATGACAAGATACCTTCCACAGTCTCTGAACTTTCTACATATTGCAAAAAATTTCAACTGAAATGAAATCCTAGGAAGCGAACCGTAGGCTGCTGCAAAAGCTTATGAACTGAGTTTTCGTATGATTATCTACTACTACCTTATCAAAAAAATGCACTGTATCGACGAATTTAGGTTTGCCAGTGGAATGACTGATCACTAGAGGATGCAGCATTGGTCAAAGCAGCTGGGGAAGTTAACAGCTAGGCAGCTGGAGGGCCAAATTATGAACTGCAGCTGATAGTAAAGAATGATCGAGGTATCGATACTTTTGCAGAACGTAATTTTTAAGTCTTTTTTTCCTAAAACATTCCAATTTAAAAGCACTGAAAACGACTGATTCACATGAAATACCGTGTTTCCGCAATTACACCGCAGGGCTGATCAGGCGAATCACCTTTGGCATGAACAGGAAAAACTCCGCCTATGATAACGTCACCGGGTATCCTGATTTGACGTACATTTGCTGACTGCAGATATGCTGCATCTTCTGACAGTTGCTAAAATTAAATATTTCACTGAAAACATCGTTTCTTAGCATATTTTTCTCCAAATTGAACTGCTGGGTACAACTGATCGGGATTATGCCACTTATTGAAAGCTTGCACATTTTGAAAATATCTGATATTAAATTACTACATGTCCTTTTCACAGCGCAAACAGTCACGTTCCTGAAAGCCGCTCAGCTTGATAGCACTTGGTTTCTATCAACTGTCCTCATGGCAGTCAATTTATTCCGACCAGTTGCTGCCCTTTGGTCACACTAGTGACCCAGCGGTTACTTGTCAAAATGAGCTTTTTGATTTTCATGCGATCACACTAAGATGTCCAAGCATCTTCTGATCCGTGTCTGTTGCAGCTAACTTTTGTTCCCTTATTTCAGCCACTGACGATTGCATATTACACAGCTCTCTCCGATACTATGACACTTTGGGAAGGTTCTTTGTAATTTGCTTGAAAGCTTTTGTGATGGCAGAATTCGCAAGATAGTAAGATAGATTTTCGGAAAGCCATTAATAAATTATTGGTTTTATGAGATCTGCATGATTTTCCAAAATTTTCCCCCACTGCAAGACAATTTTCCTGTTCTGGGCAAAAATTCAAAGAGAACGATGAGAATCGATTCGATATTTGGTGGGATTATTGTAACCTAATAACTACTGTACTGGTACTGGTCTGAGTTCCGACACTTAGAGGCTAATTAGAACCTGCAAAAGAGGTATTGCAGAACAATACTTTTTGCCACTATCAATTTTGCTATCTTCAGTAGATGCCTAGCGTTTCTATCAAGTTTTGAAATAAATGGCACAACCCTGGTAACTCAATTTCACAACCGGGTAGCGTGCGATAGAGATGCTGAGAAGTTGGATTTCGCTGCCTCCTCCTACAAAGTGACCGTTGCTATGTATGAAGTTGGACTCACATAGCCAACTTCCATGCATGGCAACGACTTCTTTTATAATCAGACAGTTTTGATCTTTAGAGTCTTGTAGAATTATGTCTGTGGTACTATCGCCTGCCCAAATTGAGTCGAACGGCAGAATCTTTTCCGTACAGTTTGTGAAACTGGTCATGCTTAAGAGCGTGCGTTTACTGGCGCAATTCCAGCACGACATCTTGGAATAAATCTATTTCTTGCATGAATATACAGCTAACTTTTCCATATCTGTGCAGTTACCTTTAATTGTGCGTTTTTTGCAGCAATGCAATGCAAAAAACGCATATTGACGAGAGGTTGTCTGTGTGTGCGCTG